TTTCTTTTCTTATTTCATTTATTATTATTATTTTTTAGAGAAAGAAAGGATGTGGATTTGGGAGGGTGGAGAAGATCCAGGAGGAATTTGGAGAATAGAAACCACAATCAGAAATATGGGGAGGGGGGGAAATCCATTTAAAAACAAAAAGAGATATGAGCAGGGCCAAGGGCATGCCATCTAGCCACATGTCGGGCAACAAGCAGCCCCTCCCTACAGAGGCCCCCGAGCCTCTGGAGGCCAGTTCTTAAGGCTGCCATCTTCTGAACTGGGACAGGAGTGAAGGGATTGACAAAAGACTTGGGGCTGCGTTGGGTGGACTGGCTGAGCAAGCTTTAGGAAGCTGACGGCAGCTGGCGAAGGCAGCCATTGAGGACCCGACACGTGCAGTTCACCTTCCCTCGCAGTGATATGAAGGGGGCTGGAGACGCAAGCACAGGGGGGACCAGGTGGTCTCCTGGGTGGAGGTGAGCTCTTCTTGGTGGCCCGCGGTCTCAACTCTGCTGCCTTCTTGTACAATGAAAAGCTCAACAGCCGTCAGGCCCCAATGGTCCTTAGCAGTGTTAGATTTGGGCATCAGATCAGCACCCATCATGACTCTTGCCCTCTCCCTTGGCCAAACTGAAGCGGAGCTATCTTTCCCTTAAGAGAAGAAAATAAGCCTCATCCATTTTACGTTGTTACACCCCCCCCCCCCCCGCGTGGAAGGCAGAATGCACTGTTAGACCAAGAAGACGGAAAAGTTGTGAATGGTGCTCAGTGGTAGAGTACTTTCCTAGCGTGTTGAGACCCTGGGTTCAACCCTCAGCACTACAAGGAGAAAAGAAAAAAAACGGCAGGTTCTTCATCACACAGACCAGTCCTGGAAGTAAGAGTTACCCGAGAGTAAGCGTATCTTCTCCAGGAGACTTTGCTGGCATTGCCTAAACGGGGTCAGGGCGCTTCTTCCCAGCCAGCGCCAAGGTCTGTGTTCTGCACAGCTGTGTCTTTCAGTTGTGCATGTGCTGTCCACCTGGTCCTTCCTTCACATTCAATCTGGATGCCCAGCGCGGGTGTGGGAAATAATGTGCGGTGCCATTGTGCAATGGCAACAGAATGAGTGAGCAGCGGCACTGTGACAGGAGGGAGAAAGGAAAACGGCCCAGGGTGGGGTAGTCCGGCCTAAGGCATAGTGGGAGATGGGGACAAGGTCATTCTCCTTTCTCCGCTGTTCCCGTCCCCTCTGTCCTCTCGGACAGAAGGGTGACAGCCTCTGCTCCCAGCTTCTCTGCTCACCCAGCATCAGCGTTGCCTCTTTTCTAGAAGCTTTCCCCCTAGAAGAGGGTGGGTGGTCAGAGCTAGACTCGGGGGAGAGGCGCAGGGCTGGGCCATCCTGGGAATAGCCAGGCCCACCAGAACAACAGCGATCCCAGTGGAACAAGGCAGCAGCTGCCTACCGCTGGCCGCCTAGACACAGGACTGGGGAGGCGGGAAGCTGGGTAGGAAAGGAGCCTGACCCCAGCGAGGCTCCAAAGCAGGAATCAGTAACCACAGGAAGACAGTGACCAGGCCTGAGTCACAGCAGCATGGCCAGGAGTTCCTGCCAGCCGTCATTTCTTAGAGTTGCTCTCCTGGGCCCACAGCGGAGGGTGGGATGAAGCAGGGTGGTAACAAGCCCCACAGCTGACAAGTCCTCTCCTCAACAGTGACTGTGAGGGCCCATCTCACTGGATGGTTGATGACACTTAAGAAAACCTTCGTCCTGGCTCCCAGCTCAGTGCTGCGGATCATCGTCCTCATCACCAGCCTCGTGGTCCTGCCTTACCTGGGGTATGTGTTTGCAGCGTTTGGCATAGCTATGTGGCTGCGAGTCCTCTGCCCTGAAGTCTTCTGTCTAGAGGATTAAAGCTGCATAACCAACTGAAATCCCCAAGTATATTAGAGCGGGAAGTTCAGGGTGCTTTGTCTGCCTGCACCAGTGTGCCTTGAGATCTACACTAGCCTGGACACAGGTGATGCTCAGGGCTCACTTCCTGCGGTGAGGAATGTGCAAAGCCATGGGAGGAGGAAGGCCCTGCCCTCAGAACTCCTTTTCTCTAGTGACGGGGACACAGACTGGTCTCTAGGGCTGAGATGATAGCAATGGACTAGGAGCTGACAGCTCTGCCCTAAGTCACAGGGGTCCACCACAAAGATGGATGACTGGTAGGTACTGTCCTGAACCCAGTGGATGGAGGACACCATTGCTCTGTCCCTCACTGCTCTGTGGCAGTCCTAGTTTTAAGCAGTATCAGTTGAGTTTGTCATCAACTTGATCATGTCATGACTTGGTTTTAACAGACAGAATGTCTTTGTGTTCTCATTTCCAGGGTGCATGGAGCCACATTAGGTGTGGGCTCCCTTCTAGCAGGGTTTGTGGGAGAATCTACCATGGTTGCCATTGCTGCGTGCTATGTCTATAGGAAACAGGTGAGAACCTCTGGTCACAACTTTGGGGACAAGGAGGACCTCTCTCTGCCTTCACAGATAATTTCCCTTATCAGCTCTCTCTCAGGAAATCCATTCTAATCCTGCTGGGCTACCTTACCCCTTCCACACCACACCCACTCTGTTATATAGACCCTTAACCTGAAAGCACAGAGCTAGTCTGTCCTGAAGGCAGAGTATTCAAACTGTTTGGGGCATATTTATCTGAGGAAAGAAATATATGTACCCCATGAAGTTTGGACACCCTGCCTTCAGCTTTCCTCAGATCTCTTCTGAAGTTCTCTGGGATCTAAGGGCCCATGTTATTCACCTAGATGAGATTAACCAGGGAGTGAATATAGACAGATGGAAGGAGCCCAAGGCAGATCTTGGCATATCAATGCTTTCAGGCTGGGGGTTACAAAGGAACAAACCTGCTAAGAAAAGCCCAGGGAAGCAATCAGGAGAGCCCAGGGATGGATGATGGAATTCATTGTGAAGGGTAGACTTCAGGGGAGAAGGGGTCACGTGCCTCATGGCCTAGGGGGTCGGAAGAAAAGGGTGAAAATGTTGAAGACTGTTGAGTATAGACAACTCTTTTGAGTTGTTTTGCTCTGAAGAGGAGAGGGCTATAAATGTGATTTCAGAAAGCCAGTTAAGATGAAATTGAGTGAAGTGTTTGCTTTGGGGACGCACCCAATGAATGGGATACTAGTGGGAGAAGGACAGCAGAGCCAGTTGGTCAAGTGCATACCGAGGGGGTTGGGCAGCTGATGGGAATCCCCATTCAATTTGGGGGACAGTCCTGGGAGCTCTTCTGGTTGCTTTTGCTTGGGTCAGTTAAGTAAAAAGCCAAGTTGCCCCTGACAACAGGCCATGATGAAGGCCAGAAGACAGAGAAGGGCGTGTGAAAGCCTGAGCTAGCCTGAGCTAGCCAGGAGAGTAAAGAGTGAAGGGCTGGGAGAGCAGGCTGGGAAGGCCTTGCCACAGAGGACAGCCCCCCTGAAGTGGGCACTGCAGCACAGGACTTCTTGGGGGCCCCCAGCCACATTGGCATTTCCTGCTGAGACTGGAGATTTGAGCCTGAGGTCAGAGTTCTCTCTGGCAAATAGGACTCAAGAAGAGCAAGAAAGAATGTCGTTGTAATTGCTGAGTGTTCCATTTACATCACAAGGGAGGGGTGAGAAGCCAGGACCAGCATGGGCAGAGCAGTGATGGGAGCCAGGTTCTGAGGAGGAAGTCCTGCGAGAGGCAGGCGGAAGTAGAAGTCCTCTCCCTTGGATCTGCTGCCTAGAGCTTTGATAACACAAGGTCCACATGGGCCCAGAAATGACTGAGTGGTGACTGACTGCCAAAAAGGCACCTTCTGCAAGGACAAAGCAGCATGGCAGAGAGGCCACCAGGAATTAGGATGTGCAGTGAGCAGGACAGAGTGAAGCCAGAGCTGTCACAGGGGACACCAACCAATGACAGATGGAAGGACTAGTCTAGAACATAAGAGTCAAAGCTCGGGGCTTCAGCAGGACACGGGAGAAGCAAAGCCTCCATTTGAAAGGGCTGTAGGGAGCTGGCATCCAAGGCTACATTCCAGAGTGACAGCAAGGATATGGAGGACAGGGTCCCCCAAAGTACCTAGCACTGTGTGCCAGATACACAACAGGTACGTGAATAACCACAGTGAAAGGAATACATTGAACTAGATCCATCCTGGGTCAGGATGCCTCAAACCCTAAATCCCCGCTCACAGTACTGCTATGGTGTGTCCTGTCCACACACCCACTCTGATGTGTCTTCTTTTATCTAGAAAAAGAAGATGGAGAATGAGTCAGCCACCGAGGGGGAAGACTCAGCAATGACCGACATGCCTCCCGCAGAGGAGGTGACGGACATCGTAGAGATGAGGGAGGAAAACGAGTAAGCACAGGCCGCCAGGGCCCGTGCAGGGACGCTCAAGACAACAGCACCATCTCTTTCTTCCTCCTCCCCGCAAGTTGTCTTCTGAGTTTTAATTTTTATTTTTGGTTATGAAAGAGGCCTTGATTTAAAGGTTTCGTATAAATTCTCTAGCATACTGGGTATGCTCACAGATGTGGGGACCTAAAGAAAGGTCTTGACTGTCACTTTGTAAACACAGAACCGCTGACTTCATGCCCCTGCTTCTTAAAAACCCAAAAGATAGAGCCACCTCTTGGTCGACGTTTCTACTCCCTTGGACAATCTCCACTTTGGAACCAAAGGACTTGGGCTGTGCCGTTGCCTCTCGGGTCAGACTCTTTCCTGTCCGTGTTCGCCTCGTAAGAATCAACGGGTTGAATGAAACCCAGCCTCTTCTGACTTGCTCCCCAAGACTGTGGCTGTAACAGTGATGTGACCTGGTGCCCATCACACCCCTCCCACTTTGGGGTCCTGAACTATCTACCACACACACCAGTGAGCCACAGGCTGCAGCCCAGAGTCTCCCTGCTCCCAGACGAAGAGCTGAGGGTCACATTGGGCCGGCAGAAAGGAAATTTAATCTCCTGTAGAAATTGGATCAGAGTCGCAGATGGACTTGATCATCAGCATCTCGCGTTGTTTTCCTGGTTTCCCTGAGTTGCCGCCCACCCCACCCCCCACTCCCCACAGTGTATATACATGAGCTGACTTTCCAGGGGTGTCACGGAAGTGCCCCTCCAAGTGTCAGCGTCCTTCCGCATGACTTTCCCCGAAGGCTTGCTTTTCACTCGCCTTCCCTGAAGATGGCACTAGATCAAGAGAAGTGGAGCATTCTAACTGTCCATTTCGTTCTTTACAGTGAGCAGAGCTTTAAGTCGTAATCTAGCAGTCTAATGCCAGGTTCCTGTCTCGTAACTTCTGATGTAGATGCGTTGCCTGTTCCTGCCGTTTGTAGTCACGGCCCAGCAGGACAGGCAACTGAGTGTGCTATGGTACTCCCCTCCACACCATAAAGCAAGACATTTTATAAACAAGTATCAAAGTCACTATGTGATACCCCTGAAATAGTGCATTGGAAATCCATTTAGTGCAGTATATTTTTCTAAGTTTTGGAAAGCGGGTTTTTTCCTTTAAAAAAAAAAATTATGGATACAGTTCACTAAATTCCTGATTTAGTCAAAATAACTAGACTGAAAGAACCTAAACAAAACAAATATTTTAAAGATATAAATATATGCTGTATATGTTATGTAATTTATTTTAGGCTATAATACATTTCCTATTTTCGCATTTTCAATAAAATGTCTCTAATACAATTCAGTGATTGCCTACGTGCTCCACATACCTGCAGCTCACTCATGTTGTATGTTGTACCAGTGACCGTTGTATGTCACAACCATCTTACAAAGCCCTTTGTCTATGAATGGATGGGCCTGTAGATGCCAAGGAAACACTTTTTCATGATGGGCAACCTACAGAGAAAATAAGCCCCTTGAGCAGACAAGTAAAGGTTGGAAGGGCAAAGGAAAATGGAAAGAGAAGGCAGATCTCTTGTGTTTATTTTTTCAGTGTTGTGTAATCCTCATGTTAAGACTGGAAGGGCAAGGGTTGGCTGTCAGCTACACCGGCTTGCATTCCCATTTCTGGATACCCAATGTCCTTCCTCCGTGCCCACCGTGGGAACAAGTCCTTTGTGCTCCCGTAGTGCTTGTTGGTGATTTCAGGGGCAGATCTGAAAAGGTAACTTCAAAGTCTTAATTGTATTGGCTTTTTAAAGTACATGACTAGACAATTAAACAGCAGTATTTTTTAACACGTGTGGCTATGTTCATGCTTCTGGGGTTGGAGCTTAAGTATCAGACTGCAAAAGCAAAATCCTTTCCCTCTAAATTTAAGAAAGAGCAGCTAGTGGCTCTCCATTGTGCAGTTCGAACATGTGGCTTTAAGTCCAAAGCCACCTCACTTGATCAAGGTGGAAAAGGTCCCTGAAAACCCAGGATGTAGTGCCAGCCCAGGCCTCTGCAATGGAGCTGCAATTCTGCCGGATTTGTTCAGACCTTCATCTTCTGGTGAGGGCAGGCTTCTTCACGCATTACCTTCTCCTGGCCTGTGTGTCTCCTGACATTCCAAGCTGCCATGCCGTTGTGGTCAAACCAAGAATTCCATAGTCTGGACCTGGGGTCTGGAATGGGGAAGGGGTCACTCTCTGCTTCCCAAAGGCATTAGAGCAGCCTACTTCACCAGCCTAGTGTTATTTCAAACACTTTGCTCAGCCGAGAAACAGAAAAGGACCATGCCTGTGAAATCCCCTTGTCGAGGACTGCGGGAAGACCAGGTCTGGCTTTCTCAAGGTTAAGCAACTGTAGACAATTACAACCTAAAGTTGCAAGGGCCTGAGGCAGGTTTCCATCTGAATACTGCGAAGTCAGCCTTTCTAGAGTGAGGGTTCTCTGGAAGGAAGCAGGGAGGACTGTTTTCCTGAGGGGTGACAGGGGGTCACTCTAAGTGCACACCTGCCATTTGCTCTGCCCTTGTTTACTGGGTCCTGGCACACAAGGCATCTCTAAGGCACCCGGGAACTGAGTAAACAGGATTGCTGTGACTCACGGCAGGACAAGCCTGCCACTGCAGGCCAGGGAGTGTTGAGGCTTGCAGCTGGCAGGAAACTTGCCACCGAGGACTCTTTCATTGGAAAGGCCACTTGTTTGCATGTGTGGGTAACAGCTGGTCAGTCACCCCCTACTGCCCTGGTGGGCTTCTCTCACACCACAGGTACTCCTCTCTCATTTGAGGCCTTCTGTTTTTTGGCATTCGCTGATGGCTTTCCTTGGCGATGTCCGTGGAGGGCCTCAGAAATGAAAACACTTACTATTGGTTTAAGCTGCGTTAGGAGGCGGAGTGAACTTGGCCTGCAGTAGTTTCAGCACATCAACTTTCAAGGACTCTGGGCATTGCATCCCTGCAATGCAGCCCCCTTCTGCCCCTGGCAAGATTGAGACAATTACACACCTCAATCATGGGAACGGTTACTCCATCTTTATCTTTAAAGAAGGAATTAAACCGCTCCCTTAGCGCAGGCCTGAGTGTGGGTGTGTGTATGCCTGCTCTGGAGATAAATCTCAGGGTTAGTCCGACACACCCTCCACTGAGCTACACTCCTAGCTCCCAGCTCTCCCACCCTCCTACCTGTTCTGTTTGGGGATATTTTCTTCTGAAATGGGCAGAGGGAAAAGAACTCTCTTCTAGCTTCACCACATTCTCCCCAGACTGAAACGAGAGTGAGTTATGTGTTACAAAATAGGAAAGACCAATATTCTTGTAATTATTTATGTTTAGGGTTGGGGGGGGTTGTTTTGTTTTTCTCTGTGTAGCCCTGGCTGTCCTGGAACTCACTACGTAGACCAAGATGACCTGGAACTCACAGAGATCCTCCTGTCTCTGCTTCCTGAATGCTGGGACCTTCACATCTGACCTCTTGTCATTAAATTGTTACCTGGAGAAATGTTTTTTGGTACTGATTTTTTTCCCCCTGCTTCAGTAAAACTCTCAATAGAGTGTGACAGAACATTACGTGCTGGTATGTGATGACCAGGCAGGTGGCAGACCTAGAGTACTGCAAGAGAGCTAACTGCCGAACTCAGAAGGGAACCTCTGGGCACCATCAGGAGGGGTCTTCTGTGTTCTCAACGCCGCCCCACACTTGCAGAGCCAGAAGTACAATGCGGGCTCTGGTCTGGTAGGACCTGGGAAGGTGAGGTGGGTGACGTCGGGGTTACCTGTGCAAACCGGGTGATTTCTGTCCGCACTGCCACACAGCCCCTACACAGGGCTCTTTTATAGAAAGCATCTGAAGCATCAGAAAGCATAGTTTTGAGCAGTGTATCTGGAAACCACCAGAGATGCTTCTCTGTGTGGTTACTCGGAGCCTCTATTTCTGTCATTCCAAGTAGCAAAACATCAGGTGACTCATCAGATGATCTAACCGCACATGAAACAGGATGTAGTAGAAATCTGAAGAAAAAAACGCAAGAAAGCCAGCCCGGGTGCCTGCTCATTCAAAGGCTGGCCACTAAAATTAACACCCCAAAGCTAAGCAGGAAAGAAAGGGGCCCGGAACCCAAACAACCCAAACTACACTTAGAAGTCAGGAAACACAACTAATTGCATAGTTTACTGACTGATCTCAAAAGGGAAAATAACGAGAAGACAGAGACTTGAAACTTCATTTTTTTTTCCCCCTCGCAAGATGGAAGGTCTGTTGTTAGCTCTGCTAACTGATGTGGCTCCCTGCTGGGAAAAGCACCTCCATCAAAGAAAACAAATTCTCGGCCAAGTACAAGTGGTTCCAGAATTGTAACTAGTGCCTTCAAAAATTTTAGTAATAAATTTTTAAGGTTTTTATTTAGTACCCGTCTTTGAGTATGTATACTTTAGTGAGTTGTGTACACAATACAGAGTCTGAAATCACTGTCTTGCTTCCTTGCAAACAAAGGGGGTCACTTTATGAACCTGGGGCTCAAATTCTGTTGCCCAAGTTGGAAGCCATCAAGACCCATCAATCTTGTCTTTGACCCCCATCGCTCGTTAAGTGGATGCTGGGGACCCGAACTCTTATCCTCATGATTTCAGGGTAAGCCCTCTGAACCGCTAAGCTCTCTCTCCAGTCCACTGATAATTTTTTCTCCTTCATTTGCAATCAATCAACCAGAATCTCTCAAAACCTGTGTGGAGGAGAGATGCACTTTGATAGCTGCCGGATACACATGGATGGATTTAGTGAATGTTGTCAGATAGTACCTCCTTTCAGTAAGGTCATGTAGCTCCAAGTGCCCTTTACCAGCAAGACTAGACATCCACTTCTGCCTAAACAAACGTCAACCAAATACACACACTGAAACAACATGCAAGAACTGGGAGTCTTTTTACACCCAAAGTAAGAGTTCCTTGATGTACAAGGAGGAGATGAGGACAGACCAGCTAAAACTGGTTCTAACACAGCAGCAGTCAAGTCCCACTGTTTCTTCTGGTCAAGAGGATAAAAATCTCTGGCCTGGGCAGAGGCCTAACATCTAAGTTACCCAACACGTCAGAGTGAACACAGTCCAGCGGGTCTACCACCTGGGAGCACACCAGGAAGGTGGAGCACCCACAAGAAGGCAGACTCACCTTAAGCCAAGCTTAAGAGATAAGGGAAATAAATACCTTTCATGAGATACTTTTACTTCCCAGAATCCCAGCCCCCTAGCACAGTCCCTCTAAGCTGCCTTGCGGCTTAGCTGCGTTCTTACATCAAAAGGTACAACTTCCCCATTTTTCTGTCTCCGTTAAAAGACTGGCAAGAAGCGAAGTACGTTTTCTCCAGTACTTCGGGATTCCATGCTTTTTCTCTAAAGCTCTCTCCCCACCATGTGGCTGTCTGCTGCAGTGTGGCAGGGCTTTCTTCCTTCTCTTTCTCCTGGAGGCAACCACTGAGATTTACAGCTTGCCTGCTCTGGGAGTTTTCTTTTTTAAACTTGTAAAACTGTCCTCAAGCTTCCATTTGATCCATTTTTAATAAAACTCTCATTAAGGAGACAAAGAACCCCAAGAGGGTACTCCAGGTCCTTTCACTTTGAGTCAACCTTGATTTTTGACTTTCAAACTCTCCTGCCTTCTAATTCTTTAATCAGCAGAAAAAATGAACCTTTCCTACACCCTAGACAGCATCAGCTGCTATACAGTATATAACTTCATGGAAATTCAGTGTCATGCACAGTGGTGGTTGCTATAAATGTCAGAAACACGTTTCCAACCATGAGTCCAGGAAAGGCAGCCTTTGGAGCTGCAGAACGTTGTTAGGTCAGGAGGACTCTGGATCCTGGGTGTAAGGCTGTGAAATTCCAAGACCCCTATTTGCATGAACCAACTCCTGAAGGTGAAGGTCATACCACCTTCATGTCGTAGAGCAGATTCAGGGTATACACCACAGGAGCTAGCACTCCACACAGTGTCTGTCATGTCACCACGAAGCAGGCTCATTACCCCCGGGGGTGCCACATCTATATGGTCTTGGAGGCAAGTACCTTGTTCCAGTTTGCTTTGCTCTGTGGTCTCCTACTGAAGTGACCATCTAAAGCTGGTATGGTAAGGTGTCAGAGCTCCAGAAACCTGAGAGTCACACTTGAGGTTCTGTCCCCCACCAGCACACCCTCCTTCGCTCCCTGAAGGGAAGCTTCCAGCCTAGAGGCCTGGAGCCCAGAGCAGAGCCTTCCACCCTTCTCTGGCCTCTGATCATCTGCCCACTCACGGTCTAGGCTCCTTCCTGCCCCAACATTTCATGTATGATCCAGTTTTAGAACACAGTATGCAATTTGACAGTGGGAAAGTGGCCTCATTCCTAAGGTCGGACCACGACCAGCAATGCACATTTCCTGCTCTAATGAGATCCAGACTGGGAACCACTCCTCACACACGCTACGCTGTCCGCTTAAGCCTTTCAGCTTCACAGCACCCTGCAGACTAAAGTGCCCGTGTAGAACTAGGTTCTTCGTAGTTTCTGGATTTTCCTATCCTAATCATTGGTCTGGTCACTCACCAGCCACTTGATTTTGTAATCTTAACTACGGTTTCCTCATTTTTCAAATTTACGTATTAAGTTTGGCCCTTTGCCTCAGTAGCTAAAATCTCCAAGCAAGAGATTTCCCCCCCCCCAACTTCCTGTCATAGTTAAATGATCTACTTTACTTCAGATATTTTTCTGCATTATGGTTTTTATTTCCCACCACTTTAGGCATACTGACAGTCCTTCTCTGAACTCTCTTCCAGTTTTTCTCTGCCCTACTCATGATATGCAAGTCCCAAAGTTGCTCAGGACTGAGAAGAAAACCTGCCAACTCCTGCCATCTGAAGTCTGGTCCACAGTCTTTGAGGGAAAAGCCCTTTGACATCATAACCCAAACGATGACTTTTTCATATTCCTCATGCTGTATTGTTTTGTTTTGAGATGGTCTCATTAACTTACCTAGGATGGCCTACAACTCCCAACCCTCCTGCTCCAGCTTTCCAAATGCTGACTGTAGACACGTCATCATGCCCATTGCATTTCTGAAGCACTAAGAGGTCATGTTCTTTGCTTCCACCAAGGACCTGGGACCTATGTGTCTTCCCATCTGGCTAGAGTCAAGGTGAGTTCAGCATCTGGCCATCCTGAAGACAATTTGGAGATGCACTGCCCAAGTGGCAGGAGTTTCCCTCCTCGAAGAATGGCACCACAGGGAAAGTCTACACGACTCTCCTATTTCCATGACATCCCTGTCTAGATGAGTCGCATGCCTCACCTACGCGCACGCACGCACACGCGCGCGCGCGCGCGCGCGCGCGCGCACACACACACACACACACACACACACACACACACATACACAATCAAGGTCCCATTAACCCTGTCCTACCTCCTAATGCCTCTCACGTCATCCCTTCCTGTGTCTTAGCTCAGGAGTCCTGGGGAGCCAGCCACCCTCTTCTGAGTTATCCTTTCTGACAGTACCAAGGGCAGCACTGGATGGAGGTAGGCAAGCCACTGTGTAGCTCATCCCGCTCCTGTTACTCCACGATTCTTACGTTTTATTTTAAAATGTATTCACTTTCAACTTGTTTTTTTTTTTGGTGGGGGTGTTACCAAAGGACAACTTGCAGGAGTCAGTTCTCTCCCTCCACCATGTGCGTCATCAGGCTAGGTGTGGGCTGGGTGTGGGCCTCTAGAACAGCCTTTTATCCAGGCGCAGGTGTCCTCAGGACCAGGATGTCACCAACTGGTATTTTGTGTCCTCCGCCCTGCACACCCATTACTGGCACACACACATACACTGCTTTACCTCATGTACTACAGAGAAAGTTCTGGAATCTACTAGGATGGCCAGTACATTGATTTTCTGGGCTGGTCCTTCTACTCTAGGTGCTGAGGGTCTATAAAGCTTGAACTGACACTTCATGTCCATAAGGGCACAAAAGCAAAAGAGAGTTCACGAGATCATCCTTTCAAGTCGGTGCACTGTCCAGCCTGGCAGACGCCAGGCAGGACGGGGCTAAGCGGCGAACGTCTTCATTTGGCTCAGAGCTGGCCGTGTCAGTAACAAGACTGGCTGGAGACAAAGGGTCATCTTCAGGCTGCTCCGTCATCGGACTGCTGGGTGTCACTGGATTCTGAGGAGCTTACAAGGAGGAAGCATTAGCACACCAAGGCAGCTGTCAATGAAAGGCCTGAACTGGGGAAAGGGTGAAGGACAGGAGGGTCCCTGACTGGACCCCAAGAGGAGAGAATGTGAGCTAAGCCTTGGCCAGGCCCAGGGGGTGGGCTGGCTTGGGGCAGTACTTGTTGTAAGTTAAGATCTTGGTTGGCTCTGTCTCTTGCCTCCTTCCTCAGATTCCAACTGTAGAGAGCCAAGGCTGTCGGCAATGAGTTGGAGCACTCTCTCATTCAAGATACAAAGGGTTTTTTTTTGTTGTTTGTTTGTTTTGTTTCCTGTCAGTAACATGGGAGAGGGAGGGAGGGAGGGAGGGAGGGAGGGAAAGAGGAGAGAAGCGAGAGAGAGAGAAAGTTTCTGGGCTATAGGCTGCTGGATGGAGGCATGGACCCACTGCCTCCCAGAGTCAGCAGAGAGCATGGCTCCCAGCACTGGTGGTGAATTACCTCTGCCATGTTGGGAAGCTGAGATGGGCGGAGTCAGCAGCCAAAGCTGCTGTTTCAGTCCTCGCCATGCTACAGTTTACAGCAACAGATTCACAAAAAGACTGTTTATAGTATGTGTAAAAATGTACACAGGCTTAGAAGAGAGAAAAGGGAATATATACAGTTATATAAAGAAATCATTTTAAAAAATAAAGTTTTTAAAGAGACAGTAAAAATAATATAAAAACAAGCCATGTAAAGATGGATTTTACACAGGGAATCTGGATTGTGTTGTCATTGGGATTTTTAACCACAGAAAGACATTTGATTGAAAAGGCTGCTAAGTTAAACCAATACATATATATATATATGGTATCTTGACTTCAAAATTTATGTCTAAGGATATATTGCTTTGGAAAAGAGATTCTGCTTTTGTTTCCACAGAAGACAAGAACCTATGGATTGCTTCCAGGCTAATATGATTTGATCAAGGAAGGCCCACCGAGAGGTCTCCAGATGATTCAACATCCAAAACAGCTTCAAGGCAACTGGCTCAGAGAATGCAGCATCACAGACTACTCCAGTCAGGACTTGACCATAATTCTTAATTTTCTCAGGATCCCCATAAGATTGCTAGCACCCTCAAGTAGCAGGAAGTAGTATGAGAAGCTATGTCCAAATTCCCAAAATATTGTTTATAAATGTTTATTTTTATTTAAAGGGGGTTGATTATCACTGCAATCTCTTTCTAAAAGAAGAATTGGGGATATGATATAGAAATGTAGGATATAGATATGATAGGATAAAAAGGTAGATTATTGAATCTTCTTTTAAAGAGCAACAAATTGTTTAAAATACTTTACATTGCTATGGATTTTAGTTTATTGCAACAAATTTAGAGTTAATTTTGTTATACTGTATGTATATTCTACTCTTGCTTAAGGTATTATATTTGTGCAGCTCATTTGAAACTGCGATATATAATTAGGAAATGCAGATAATTAGCTATGACAATAAAATTTATAGTCATGTTAGTTAAGTTTTTAGGTAAAGATATATTTCAATTAGGTAGGTAATCTTCAAACACTTCAAAGACCTAGAGAATATGGCATTTAAAATGTTTTAAAAACTTAGACTTTCCTGGACAATGAGACAGATCTGCTCCTGGAAGCACCAATTTACTTCAAAGAGGAAGATGGGCATCGAAGACACTCCATATGGAGTTTATCTTCTTCTTGGCAGAACTGGCCATTTGGGCAAGAAACTGCTCTTGCCTGGACTGCTTGACAAAATGTTGTATAGGCTAGACATGCAGTACCCATTGAAAAATGACCACTACATTTTGCCAAAACAAGACAAGATGGTTCTTCAGATTCCCGCTTCACAGAGGAGACTGCCAAATATTCTACAGGGCACAGGGAGAAGTAGCTAAAAAAATTCTAGGTCTACAGGCTGAAGATGGATGCCCCAATGTTGCAGAGGAACTTTGGGTGACTGTCCAGGCAGCCAGCTGTCTCTCTCATTCTAGATTGTTGGAAGTTGCTTACAATGCTCTCCCTTGTTTACTTATATCCTTCTGGGGTCTTTGATGTAGTTGAAGGCTAGATAGTTATAATTTTCCTTGGTCATGATAAAAGATAAATTAGATATGAAACTTTAGACTCACAAATATAGGATAGATTATTTTCTTTAATTTTGCTAAATACAAATAGACTAGATATTGTAACTATAATTCTTGCTTGATAACTGTTTTGTTATATGTAATTTTACTATGTTAAAGTTAAAACCTTCCTTTTGATTAGACAGAAAGGGGAAGTGCTGTGGAATGTCTTTCTGTATGCTGTTACTATGTATTGTTATGATTGGTTAATAAAGAAGCTGCTCTGGCCTATGGCAAGTCAGGTTATAGCAGGAAATCCAAGACAGAGACAGGAAGGAGAATGGCAGAGGAGAGATGAGAGCCAGCCACCCAAGCAGCAACACATAATGGGATGCAGGTAAATCTACAAAACATGTGCGTTAATTTAAGATATAAGAGCTAGCTAGCAAGAGGCTTGCCATAGACCATGCAATTAGTAATTAATACAAGCCTCTGAGTAATTATTTTGTAAGTGGCTGCAGAAACACAGGACCTGGGCAGGACTGGAGAAACTTCTGACTACATGAGCCAAACTATGTATGGTCAAGACAAAGAAAGATTTAGGGAGGATCAGTTATTTACCTAAGCCAAACTCATCTTGCTTAGAGTAGGCAGTGAAACTGTTTTTCCAACCCAGATCCATGGCCAAAACTCTGGACCTCTAGGCACTATGCTGATCACATCATGTCTTCTAACTTCAGCACTGTCCAGTAACACTACATCAAATCTTAACCCCTCTGACCCAAAAGCAGTGACATGTCTGGGTTGACTTCAGCACGAGCTAGGCCTTCAACAGGATGCCAGGAAGTTCAAGCGCAGGTCCCAGACTGCCACGGTCCTTAAAAGCAGATGCTTAACCACAGCAACAAAGCAGGCTTTGGAGTTTTCTAAGTTTATTTTTAGTTGTTTTCACAATCCTTGGCATCTGTGTGTACTAAAGGGATCAAAAGCAAAGACCCAGAGTAGGCTCAGCCTCAAACAGTGAAGACAAGAGGCAAATGACAGGAAACTTTCACCCCCATGTGCTCGGCATCTAAAATAAGTTCACAAGTAGGAAATAAGAGATCAAGAGCCCAAACTGCCCACAGCTTAGGGGGCATGGTTTTCAGGGCAATGGACATCTGACCAACACTGCCATGCCAGTGTGCAAAGAGCAGACTTGGCTATCAAGCAGACAAGAGCACAGCCAAGTTCATAAGAGCAGTCTCCTGTCACAATGATCCCCATGAAAGAAAAACACCCTCCCCACAGGTAGAATCTAAGACTAGGCCACCAACCTCCTGGAGCTGCTAAAATGCAGGTAACCAGGCCACAGCCCATTCACAGACAACTGGAAACGAAAGGGAGTTCCTTACATAAGATCATCTTGGCTACTCTGAAGTCACAGCATTGCAGTGGCTGCTGTGTTCCCATAAGGACTACCATATTTTTAGCACCATTGATTTTTGTTGCAGATCAAGGCAATTCCCAGTAGATAAATGAAAGCTAATCACAAAATTTATTTTGAGGTTCCAAATTAAGGGTCAAGCACCCATGGTTACTAAGAAAATAATGACCAAGACTGGATAGTTTGAGTTCAATATCCTTTTCTTGTACTGACTTATGTGTTACTGACTTGTGAAAAAACAGCAGAGGGCATAGAACTAGATCCTAAACCACTGACTCTGAAGATTTCATGGCTCATGAATGTCTTCACTCACATCCATTCAACTGCTGCTTGGCTAAGTGCCAGATCCCCCTATCTCTCTGAAAGATAAAATAAAAGGTTTCCTAAAATAGTTAATTTGGGGGGCAGGAGTTGATAGAATATATTGTTATTATTCATTAACTCTTATATTCTCTTATAATTTAATCACGGGTCTGTTGGGCATCTGCTGCTTTTGTTTTTATATAGTGTGGCAGCTAGTGTTAATTGACAACAGAATCTAGACTCCCATGGGACATGAACCTCTTGGGCTTGCCTGCAGATGGCCTTGACTGCTTTCACTGAGGTAAGAGAATCCATTCACCATGATGGCACTTTGTCCTGGCTAGGGACATGGACTGTATAAATGGAGAAAGGAGTAGGCAGCAGCATGCTTTGTGTTTCTGCCTGCAGATGTCATGTGACTAGCTATTTCAAGGTCCTGCCACCTGACTTCTCTGCCATGATGGATCCTTGAACAGTGAGCTAAAATAAAATCTTTTCCTAAGTTGCTTGTCACAGCTTTTTATTACAGCAACAAGAAAAGAAACTAACACATATATCATTTTAAAGTGCATTCTAAAGCCAGTTCATCCTTCAGCTCACCTCTCACAGTTCCCTAGACTTTCTTAAAACTGTAAATTGACATTGTACCCCACCTCTGCCAAACTGGGGATCTGGTGTTTCTTTCAGATGAAAAGTACACAGTGGAGGCTTTCTATTTCTACTGCGGTTATTGCTTTTTTAAGAAACAACAGATCTTACAGCAAAGCTATCTATTTTATGTACACCTACAAGCAAGATTCCTCAGTGGTTTATGCTCCTAAAAATACGCTCCAGCCTTCAACAGGGAATACCTGCAAAGTAATGCTTAAGAAAAAAGATAGGGAACTGATAAAACTAAACGTTTTCAAAAGACGACACAGCAGGAAGTATATGTCAGTCCTGCACGTGGATTCACCATTAGAGGTTCATCATTGGCGCTACATCACCTCAAAAACACCTAGACAACCGTCACAAAAACAAGACTACTGGTTCTTAGGTAGAGAGCACATGTGGTGAGTGGGAGGGACAGGAAGGATAGCACAGAGCCACTTCAGAAATCAAAACGAAAAGCTTCAACACAAAAGCTCACAAATGCGCCTAGCATGGTGGCAATACCTAGAATCACAGCTCTCAAGAGGTGAAAGCTGGGGGATGACTGTGTCTCAAAAAGTCAAAATCAATCAACTAAATTAACAACAAAACAAAATGAAAAAACAAAGATATTCTTCTAACAGAAGTTTTATCAATCCATATGGTATGAGATTTTACTTAGTAAGTCCTAAAACTGGAAGGAAAAAATACACAAAACGACATGCAATGTCGTTTTCCTTCAAGAAAAAGCTCATCAGACATCCTGAATATCGTGTAGTATAATCTAAGTGTCAGCGGCTAGACAGGAAAACAGGATGGTTTCTTCTCTGTGCAGGTAGAGAATTTCCTTACACGTACAGGAGGAAATGCAACTATCTCAGATCCAACTCTAAGTTCGGGGCACTAATGCTGCCATCATGACACATGCATGTGTCAACCAACAGGTGTTGCACATCCGCAACCAGTGCAGGTGAGTGAGAAAATCTGAAAATATTCTGAAAAGGCAACATTAACTTTATGGGACATAATACAGGGAAACTGTACCTAACAATGTCACACACAAGAACAAGACAGTACTATTACATATAAAGATGTTCCTAGAAGTCCAGTTCAAGTTCACTAAGATTAGAATTGTCTTTAAAGTGTAGATAAGCATGAGTATTACCAAGAACGTCACTAACATTCTATAGCGATGTCAGCCCAATGGACAGCTTAAAGGTACCCACAGGGCACATATCACTCACGCTGGGAATTATCTAAACATTTCAAGTTCTGCTTTCAAAACTGTTCAAACATGGATGCCAGGCATTTCCTACTATTTAATTACAAACAATAAAATAAAGTGTCAAAGTCAACAGTAAGCCATCATTATTTTAACTTGGCTGCTAGGTGCCTCCTCACCCAAGGGTACCATAGCATTTCACAGTGAAAACACCGAGTCTTTCTAACATAGTCCCATACATTCAGAATGGCATTTGATGCTAGCATTCTAATGAATAAATAGTTAACAAAATGTGGTGATTTTACTTATGAGGCAATGGAAGAAATACTACATCAAGGGTCTGATTGGTTTGTATATCCTGAGTTATTTTTTTAAGACAATTTTTAATGAAATGACAATTTATATTTTAAAGGGTTGTTCTGCCTCCCAAAACAAGTTGCTTATTATCTATATGAAACTGGATCAAATTAAGGGTCTTAACTATCATAAAATAAGTTCAACACACCCCAATAACACCACCAACAAATGTTAAGCCAATTTGGGTGCTACAGATGGAATCCTAAAGAGGGATGTGTGTAGTCCCCATGAACAAAGGCCAAGGGCTATGGCCCTCGAGGGAAACAAAGGCCACGAGGAAACCCATGCTGAGCACCTCTCCCCATCACCCGTGTCCGAGTCAGGACCACTACGTGTGGCACACACACAGACCTATCGAAGCCAGCACAGCGGCCTCCTCCTAGCTGCCCAAGCAGCTCCAATGTACTTTGGCATTGCTTACCACATGCTTCTGCTTTGACTTGCCTATCTGACATCCCAGATAGTTGGCTCTCTCTCATCTTGTCACAGGATGAGTTACATGAGTTTGGCAGTTCGTGAGATCTTCCTGAAAGGGGCAAAGTAGGACCAGCAGCCAGCTCAGCCCCACATCAACTTACGTGACAGTTTTGATATCCACCTCTATAAACAGGTGGATATAAACGCAATTCTGACTGTAGAATCATAATCATTGGAACTTATAATAATCCACAACCCCTACACTACAGCCCATGTGCCAACAGGATCTCTCAATGCCAGGGAACCAAGCCTCAGAAACCAATGTCTAGACTTCTCTCCATTCTTTCCTGTATTTCTTCCGGGCTTCAAAAAATCTACTCTGGGACCCAATTCTTAATCTTCTAAGAGACTATCTACTTTAAAAAGTATTAACTGGCATATAAATTCACTGCCCATCCCTCCAAAAGCAGGCAAAGCTGTCCAAAGATACTGTAACTATCCATTCCAGGATATTATCACTTAAGCATATCTCATAGGAAGACCACTAATGAGACCCATCACCACCACCCCCTAAAAGAATAAAAATCAAAAACAAAACTACTGTCTTAAAAAGTACAACCAGTTTACCGTCAGAACTTTCATTGGACATACTCCTTTCCAAACAGTTTCCTCTGACACAAAAGCATCTGCCTTATGGAGACACAGTTTGTACTTCCAAAGGCACGTGCTGAAGCCCCCAGTGAATCACACTGAGTAACAGAGAGAACAGTGAGTGAAGACTTGGCTAGTTCTCATTACAACAGCTAGTCTTCAGAACATCACAGTCCAAGTAGGCTCCAGGGGCCCAAGAGTTCTCCCAGATTGTTCCTGGAGAGCTGCAGACCTGAGGCCCTCGGAGGAGGAGCTCCGTGTGCACCTGTGCTGCATCCCATGGCTGTCCACCTGTGTGTCTCTCATAGACTTGTCTCCTCACACACTCTGACAGGGATGTTATAGTGCCGATCATCCTCAGCTATGAGGGTCACCATTGGCCAGTCCTTGGGGGGGTCAGTAGGATAGACTGTGATGAACTCCTCGGTGTTATACTTGGACAGCCGGTACACCTGGATGGTGTGGCGCACAGCGTAGGCAAGAAGGAACATTTCAACCTGGGAAGGAAAAGCAAATGAGTGTTCTGAGCGGAGCCACAGGAAAGATGGGGCCCAACACCAAGCTGCATCCATTATCCCAGACAATGAGCAGCAGTGGCTTAGCTGCAACCTATCTCCTCCCCTTTGAACCTAGTCAAGGGCAGGGGTAATAAAGAATGGAGTGCATATCCGATAAGAAACTTATACTCAGAAATACAAAGAATGCTCCCAAATCAATGATTAATAAAACACCAGTTTAAAATTGAATGAAGGACTTGAAAGACATTTCTCCAAAGAAGATATATGAATGGTCAATGACCACATTAAATCATAAGCCCTTAGAGAAAAGCAAACCAAAGCCATAATGGGATAGTACTTCATACCCATGAGAATGTCTATGAGTATATACTCATACTCATGAGGACCCATGAATACAGTGTTTTCTTTGGGAGTGATAAAAACATGGGGACTGAAAATATGCTATCGATTCATCAGACATGAAATGGTTAATTTACACTCTATGAACTTCATCATTTTAAAGGGCAGTGAAAGCAGAAGGAAGACAAGGAAAGTTGGGGCACTGCTGATAAACTGCTGCTGGAATGTAAAGCACGGCAGGTGCTTCTCTTTTTCTTCATTTGGCAATGCTGGGGATCAAAGTCGGGGAGAGCCTCATGCATGCTATGCAAGTGTTCTGGCACTGAGCTACATTCCAGACCTGTACAGCATTTTGTTCCTCAAAATGTCACAACATTACCATATGCCCACAACAATTCTGCTCTTGACATATACCCAAGAGAAATACATGAATGAACGAACACACACACACACACACACACACACACACACACACACACAGAGTCAATAAATATTCACAGCAATTAGAAGAAACTACCCAACTACACATCAAACTGATGAGTAAAATACAATATTCCCATACAATGTCAAATTACCTGCTAATAAAAAAGAATGAAGTATCAATACATTCTAAATCACAATGGATCTTAAGACATGCTAAGTCAAAAAGCCAATCCCAAAATACACATTACTAAGAATGTTCAGAATAGGCAGATCTATAGCCAGGAAGTAGACTATGACTACTAAGGTTTGAGGAAAGGAAGCCTGATTGCTAATGGGCTTTGTTTCTTTATGAAGTTCCAACACGGTCTAGAACTAGACTGCACTGGTGGTCACAATGCTTCAATAGGAAGAGTTAATGTGCTTAAGTTATAGTTCAAAAAGAGCAGTTTTGAAAGAGGATTCACCATTGCAGCAGAGCTCCCTGGATCCCTGAGGGACTAACTTCAGCCTAGCATGTAGACCAAGTCCTACTAGACTCTGCTACATATAGTTCAGGAGACATAAGCAGCCTGCATTCTGAGTAGTTATTTTAAGTAATCATAAATATTTCTGGTCTGGCAGTAACCACCAGTCTTTTGCTCTTTCTTAGTCCTTAAGCAAAACAACTGAATAGGTTTCATAGATTTCTACCAGGCAGAAAGACTAAGAGAAACCCAATCTGGCTCTCTATTCCTTGAAGTATCTGTCCTGGCACATCGGCCTTTTCCCAAAAAGTTAGGCACAGGAGTCCAAGTAGAGAGGGAGCAGGTTAGATTCAGAGTCTTCATGTTACTTTAGTGGTTAGCTCATCACACGCACACATGCACAGAGTATTATTTTTTTTAAAGAAACGATACAAAAAGTGAACCCCAGTGGGGTGACTTGACCTTTGGCTTAGGGGTCACTACTGCACGAGGTGCCTGCACAGCACTCCAAACTTAGCTTCCATAAAGGCAGACCTGAGAGGCTGGGCTCTACTGGCTCCTGCAGCCAAGAGGAAGCAAGCACCTGAACGGGTCCACCCAGTCCAAACTTAGCTTCCATAAAGGCAGACCTGAGAGGCTGGGCTCTACTGGCTCCTGCAGCCAAGAGGAAGCGGGCACCTGAACGGGTCCACCCAGTGCTTTATAAAATAGCTTAGCCTCCCGAGAGTCAAGAGAACCAACGATATCCACCACTTTACACAAGCAATCCTGGGACTACGTGAGGGTCGGGACTAACAAATATGTCCGTAGGTCCTTGGCATGCCTCCCTAAAAAAGGTAGACCCTCATCTCCCTCCCCTGAGTAAGGAATATATTTAGTGACTAGCTTCTACCAAACAGAACATGGGGTAAGTGGGAGTGTGTATCTTCCTCCACACCAAGAGCAGCCCTACAGAGAAGGGCCTGGGCCGTGAGGAACTGAATACTCCTTCTGGTTACCAATGAAGAACTGAGATTTTCTGCCAAAAGTCACGCATGTAAGACATGCAAGGAAGCCCTCCAGCCCCAATCAAGACTGAAGCCTTAAATGACATAACCGAAGCTCACAAGATGCTGGACCGGAAGCACTTAGAAAAGCTGCTCCTGAACTGGCCTACCAAGTGTGAGATCCCATGTGATGGCTAACAGAGATACAACACTCTCAAAGGCACAACTCACCTGTTCAAGGCCACCAGTGTGGCCCACCTGGTTTAGGTGGTTCCTTAGCAGCTGTCCAGGGTCATTTGATGTGTCTCGAGCAAACAAGAGCACAGAAAAAAATGGGACTTCCTTTCCCTTCTCTTTATCATCATAGAGTTCAATAGCTCTGTTTAACATTAGAAATTTGACAGCTTCATAGAGGCTGTACTCCTCTTCTTCATTTGTGAACAGTTCATCACACGCTAGCTGCCTGGCTTCAGCAGTCTTCATTTCAGCCAGGCTCGCCCACTACAGTAAGAAAAGTTGTCACAATTAGAATTACTGTTCTGAAAATCCCTGGCATACTTCTATACCATAAGTACAAGGTGATTTCCAAAAGTAGGGGGATAAGACACATGCCGCCAATGTGAAAAGCTTCAAGTTCTCACCCCACACAGTGGTATTCTTCAGACTACAGGAAGCCCTTTTTGAGCGTCTCCCCTTGTTAATGTGAAAAAGAAGTACCACACAGTAAGTAAGGGGAAGCACGGGGATGTGAGGTGGAAATGCTGACGCCGAAACTTCCCAGGCAACAAGAACAACATTAACAATCAGAGCTACCCAACAGAAAACGTGTGTGAGAGGGAGCCATGAAGCACAGCTGTGATGGCTACACCTGGAAGAGGTTGTAGACAGTTACCCCAGAAATATGCAGGCAAGCCTCCAAAATGGAAGACTGCCAAGGGAGACTGTGGGATCTTCTGAATACTAGTTTATTAAACTTACCCCTATGATGTCTTAAAAAGATACATGAGTGTCTAATGAATAAATCCAATTGGAAAGCCTTGACTCCTAATTAAAAATAACGGTTTCCAAATAATAGGCAAACTCTTTAAATGAACAAGAAAACATTGTAAATATGTGTACTGCTAAGTTGCCATGAAAAAAAAAGATGTCACCATAAACACCAGTCCTTATGAATAAGCATTAATTAGCATTCTTTCAAACACCAGTCCAGATTTTAAGCCTAAGAGAAATTTTAATGATCATGACTATTCAAAACTCTTTCCAATCTTAACAGCTGGAATATGTTGTCCACATCTCATATTTTCTAGAAGCAGACCATAGTGCTGGGTAGAAGCATGGCTCTAAAGTTAGAAAGTCAAGATGCAATTAAAATCGGCTTTTGCAGGGCTTTAGCCAACCTCCAGGCTGTGGTCCCCTCATCTTTAGAACAGGATGACCACAGCCATCCCACTTTTTTGGTTGAAAAGGTAGAGCAGCCCAAGTACCTTTTAGTGCCAACCATGACAAAGAGAAGTCTGACAGCTGCTGGCACAGATTACTAATGAGCAATTTTAATGTTACTGTAAACTGGCATCACATACACATTCCCCCAAAGGAGGGTCTAGTTACAGTCAACATACATAATAAAACAAAACTAACAGTTTTTCCAGACCCTAAAAAACATGAGAAAGAAATTGCAATCTACAGCTAAGCTGATGAACTCACCACTCCTTCCCTCACAGAGCTGCAGCCTGCCCTCACCACTTCACTAGGCCAGCAACTGGGTAGATGCAGGCTTCTAGCCCTAAACACTACACACTACACTCCAACAGGCAAGGAGAATAACCGTGTTCTTATAGTGTGCTCTACCACAGAAAGGTAGTTAACTATACACACCAGACCACAGGCTCGGGATAGTTTTAAAAGACAAGTTATTAAATCTACTTACTGAAAAACTGTTTTTAACACATATGGACAGACTCTTAAAATCTGAGAGTAACTGCAAAGAACTTCACAAACACACAGTGGTCAGTGAGAATATGAATGCAGGCTAACGGGCTGGAGAGACAGCTCACAGTTAAGAGCACTTGCTGCTTTTGCAGAGGATATCATGTTGGCGCTCACAGCTCCTTCTGCCTGCAGTTCCAGGAATCCAACACCCTCCTCTGGTCTCCACTGGTACCCATATGCACGCAAGCGCGCGTGCGCACACACACAAAATAAATTAATAAAGGAATATGGGCTAAATGATAATCCTGAAACTTACAATTATGACTTAGAATAAAAAATATATTTATTAAGGTTTCTTCTGAAAAAAAATTAAATGTTATCTGAGATACTCTCATATAGCACCACCTCAAAGAATACAGAATGTTGGTGGTGTTTCTCCATTTTACCAAAGACTTTATGGGAAGAATTTATGTTCTTTTAAAGTTTGCTTTTTCAATGTGTGAGCATGTATATGTGTGTACATGTGTAAGGGTATATATGTATGTATATGCATGCATGTCGAGATGAGGGTCTCTCACTGATCAATTAGGGTAGAGTAGATGGTCAGTGAGCTTCAGGGATCCTCCTGTGCCCTGCTCACCATTGCTGGGACTACAATCATGTGCCACCCCATCTGGCATTTATACATGAGTTCTGGATATCAAACTCAGTTCCTGGTCATGCATGCATTCTACTGACTACACAACCCAGCCCAAAATTATTTTGTCTGAAACCAGCAAATTCTGGCTTCAAAAGAGAACCAAGAGCTATAGTGAACCTTCTTTATAAATTTAAAAAATAACTATGAATAAATAAACAAGCCTAGCGCACTGAACCTGCTGAGAGAACAAAAGAGAAAGCTTTGCACCAATCAGAGACAAAAGATTACATGGGTCAGACCTTCTTCCTCAGCAGGGCAAGAGACTCCTTGATTCTTTCAACCAGGTCCTCATGCTTCCCATCAAACTTCAGTCCGAGTTTCCACTGCTTGATCCAGCTGTGCCTGTTTATCAGCTTCTCTGGTAACTGGAACATCAAGGAGCAGAGACAGACAATGAGGTGTCAACACTACAAGATATCTATGACACATAGGGACACCACAAAGCCTTTAGACAAAACCCACCTGAATCTCCAGAATCAATTCCTGCAGTTAGCATATGGGTTCAGGATGGAAAATTGGAACCCGAAAGTCACAAATTCAGAAAGCAGCCACACAGAGGGCTGCTAGGGTGAATGTTTTTGGCTCAGATGCACAGGAGTCCAGCCTGCAGGACACCAACCACAGGTGGGGACCTAACAGGCAAATCTGAGGCTAAGCTAAGGAAGTACCACACTGGGTCTTCACAGTAACCACCTTGGCTTCTGGGTTTACTGGCAACCTTACCACTCATTAGTAGTCAGCAAGGTAATTGTAGGCACAGAAGGCCCATGATCAAGTCAAAGCCTGCTCCTTCCCTGATAAAAACAACCCACTAAAACACAAGACCTGTCTGTTATGCAATATTAACACACATTTAATCAACAGCATAAGGTGGAAAAGATGAGCAAGACTCAGCAGCACTGGGAGGGTCAGGGAGCTGTACCTTCCTTCCTTCCTGACAGAAAGACAGTAACTATTATGGTCTTCATTTTTTGTTCTGGTTCCTGGACTGCTTCATTTGTCCCTACATATCAAAGAATCTGGAAAGATGACAGCATGAGAAACTATGCCTTCCCAACCGTCTGTCAGGATAAAAACCAGACTTGGGCTAGCTATGGGCACGTCACTGCACTGCTAAGACTTCACCTCTGTGGTCCAGTGAGATGGCTCCACAGGAGAGGCAGGCACATACATACAAATGAATTAAAATTTTATAAATAAAAAGACTCACCCCTGAAGTCCAAAAAAACAAACAAACAAAAAAACACATTCCCAATGTCCTATGCTGGATTTGTTTAACAGTAATAAACAGCTTAGAATGAGATACGTTCAGTTGCACTGGGACCTAAGACTCAGAGGCCCGTTTATGAAAAATTTTCTGATTGTGCTTTCTTAGTCTGTGACAATCACATGCGGCTAAGATGGTTTTGTCACTATAAAAATCAAGAGCACAGTACTGGTGCCCTGCATCCTCACTCACGGAGGAAAGGCATGTGGTCACTATCATCTTCCTGTGACAAATGACCGTTCACCGAAAACTGCACCAGGCCCACCCTGTGCCCACACGTTCCTGCACTTCTGAGTCCTGGACAGGCAGTTTCGCAGTTTAGTCTATCACCAGAATCTAACATGCCCTCAAGTGGCAATGAAATGAAATTACAACCTACCTTCAAGAACTATACTCAAGACAAAAAGTACCTGTCCCAACGATGTGTAAGGTGGGAAAGGAGATAAACAGCAGCCCAGAACAGCAGAGGACTCTGTAACACTGGACAGTTATCTAACAAGCGGGTGCAACAGTCAATTCAGTTACTTTTGAGAGATACAAGTTAATTTCCTCATCTCATTTACTCACTAGTCAATCTGCTGACAAAGTGATTAACCAGGTCCAGGGTGTACATTTCCAGATGTGGGAATCTTGGAGAAAAGTCCAAAAACATAAAGCACAGAAAAGCACAGGTGAGAGGGCCAACAAGACGGCTCAGTGGGGAAAAAGCACCGCCATGTAAACCTGCTGTCCTGAGGTCAATCCCAGGAACCCACCTAAGCCACAAAACTGTCCTCTGACCTCCATACACTCACTGTGTGTATGGACGCACAGGCGTGCACGCATGTGTGCACGTACGCCACACACACACACACACACACACACACACACACACACACACACGCTTTTTAAGGAACTATTAGGAAAGAACAATGGAGTTGTATTTATTTATTGAGAAGAAGTAAATACAACTTTAAATGCTTTCATGAGTCACAATGGGGTCCACATAAATCATCATTCCTTTCTATTAAGCACACAGGCCTGCCTGCCTTCTGTTGGAGTAAGAGATGCAAGAAGCAGACTGGCCAGGTGGTGGCACATGCCTTTAATCCCATCAGAAGCAGGAGGATCTCTGTGAGTTCGAGGCTAGCCTGGTCTACAGAGCAAGTGCCAGGGCAGCCAGGGCTACAGAGAAACTCTGTCTCAAAGAACCAAAAGAAAGAAAGAAACAGACTGAAGCAAGAAATGATTATGGTAAGTGTTTAAGGACCACTGTGACTAACCTAGAGAATAGCCTGTTTTCTCTAACAATACCTAGCCTTGATAACACGACAATGGCAAGTATCTAAAGCATCATCCCAAAATGAAGTCACAGAGAGCTTTAGTGTCATTCTCTAGTAAATGTTGTCACAGTTTTCACCCATTCAGAGATCTTTAAAAACACAGTAAAGTTAAAAACTAAAAAGCTTTGGCCATCCATATCCAGGTTGGGGCTGGGGTCAGAGAACCTGCCTGCCGTCAAGCAGGTTGGGTTCTGGACAGAAATGGGAACAACCAACAGGGAGCCTAGGGCTAAGACAAAAGGGGACAGCTGTATGTAAAGAGGGGCAAAGGAGACAAAGCTCAGCGGCCAAGCAGGAAAGCAGCAAGGTCAGAGAAGCTGAGCAGCAGCAGAACGGAAGGTCCCTTCCAGGAGAGGACTGCTGAGCCTGGTGTCTTCTTCTCATGTCCTGGCATCAGGCGGAGGGTTACACGGTCTGCAAACGGAAGCAGACAACTGCACACTTGCTCACTCAGGGGGGCCCCAGGACAGGGCAACATCTGTCCATCTACCCCTCCTCGCCTAGCACCCTCAACAGAGCTCGAGGCCGGTGTTTCACTCAAGTCTTGGGAACAACAAAACGAACTGTCAAGAAAGATCCAAACACACTAAGTTTCTGAGGGCAGGAGAACAAAAACGTCACTTCATCACAGATTGAGCAGCACCAAATCAGTCAGCGTGAATACTGACTTCCCAGTGGCCATGCCCTCAGCAAGGCAAACTTGTGATGCTATGGAGAAGAGGAAACCACACAGAGCCGCTGGGAATTGAGCAGCTGTTTGTACATTACTCCAATTAAGCCAGGAAAACCACATGACAGCCACATCATTCCTACAAGGAACACATTTTAATATTGATCAATATCAAATGCAGCCTATCTACTCACTCTTTCGGGGGTGGGGGAGGCAGTTCTTGAGAAAAGGCCACACTATAGAGACCAGGCTGGACTAAAAGTCACAATCCTTTTGCCTCAGCATCAAAAGTGCTGGGATTACAGGCATGTACCACCCCACCTTGCTTACCTGGCCTGTTTCAAATGTGACATTTAGGACATTATGTACACCAAAAGCTCTTAGAAAGTATAAAAATTTAAGTTCAGTATCAAATAAGCCCAGAAATCTAAAAAGCCCCTCAAAGGTCAAGGCTCAAAAGGATCAGTATGATTTAATAATAATTTTCAAAGTACTCTCTTTTGAAGCCCACGTGTAATAAGAACAAGTTAGTCAGCACACACTCACTCATTCACTATACTTAGTACTGATTAGTGCAACTGGCATTTAACTGTTCCTCCTAGGAAACCCTTACTGATAAGTGTTAGACCACACAGAAGTAACATCTTGGCCATGTTTTTATCAGCCAGGCATGCTGGCTCACACCTGTGACACCAGCACACAGGAGACTGAAGCAGAAGGATGACCACGAGTTTGAAGCCAGCCTGGGTTGGGCTACAGAGTTAAAAGTCTGTCCAGCCCACACTCCAGAAAGCCCTTCATCTCACACGTAAACAAGAAATAGCAAAGCCGTGTTAACTAGTGCCAGGGTTTACAAAACGTCCTTATAACCCACTACACAAATATCAGCATGTGACCTCCTTTGTACTGGGGCACCTGGAGGCACAGATCCCGAGGACTCTACCACAGATTTAAAGCACCAAAGACAGCCAGGCCCAGGAAACGTCTCTCTACGTTAACACTAACATTTCACCATGGAAAGAACAGTCATTTTTGAACTGCACCTAAAACACTGGCTGGACACCAATAATAAATTCTACAACCTACTTCACAGAAATACTAAAATAAAGTCAAGTTGTTTCTATGTGTTTTTTATGAATTCTAAGCATCTGGTCTCTAATTCAGCTTAGCTGTGTGTATTAAGTTTTATCATTTTTCTCTTCTGGAAAACACTGGTTATTTCTAGTCATCTTCTTAATATATAAAGTCATCTTAGACATGCAAAATTGAACAAATCCATACACTGAAATCATGCTGCATATAACACCGTCAGGCAGCATGAGCAGAAAGGAGATATCTTCTTACAAGAACTTCCTGAAACATGGAGACTTGGATCCGTGCAGCAACATACCAGCGTGAGCTCCGGGTCCTGCAGCCAGAGGGGCAGCTCTGCCAGCTGGCTCATGGCCTGGAACAGTGTGGCCCTCAGCGCGCAGTAATTATCACCACGTACTCGCCTTATAGATGTGAATTTCTGAGAAACTTCCTCATAGCCCTTGGGAGAAAACATCAAAGAGTTCAGATGATAGTTACTGGCTTGAGAGAGCAAGACAAGTTCCATCCCTACAGAAAAAAAATGGCCCTAAATCACTGGGAAGTGGGAAACAAGAACAGCTCAGTCTTTCTCGACTATAATTCCATTTATTTTAAAATAATGATGCTGTATGAAATATCAGCATCTCTCAATCTTCCTAATGCTGCAACCCTTTAGTCCAGTTCCTCATGTTGTGGTGACCGGCACAACCATAAAATTATTTTGTTGCTACTTCCTAACTGCAAATTTTGCTACTTTTATGAATCATAATGTAAATATCTGATATGCGACCCCCAAAGGGGTTGCGACCCACAGATTGAGAACCACTGATCTATAACAATTGCAACAGATCTGACATATAAAATAATTATCCAGCACTAGCCACCCTCAAAGCCCTTTCCTAATGAACTGAGGGAGCACTCGCCGCCACTCACTGGTGACATTCACTAAGGTTTAATCTGTAGTTAATTAATCTCAAATGCTTTAATAAAGAGAACAGGAAAAGGAGGGGAAACATGCAGTATCTCTATCTCCAGATTTAAAAATATACAAAATCTCGAGTTTCCAGTGTGTGTGTGTATGTGTGTGTGTGTGTGTGTGTGTGTACATACAGGCATATGTCACTTAGCGATGATAATACATTCTGAGACTAAGTCACTAGGCAATGTCATCACTGTGGACACATCAGAGTGCACTTGCACAAACCTACCTGTGTGTCCTACTATACACTTGGGCTAGATAAGCTCTTACTGAGTATTAGCTGGGGAACTGTGCTAACAAGCCACCGTGAAAAAGAGATTCTATCAAGTGTGAGACAACAACACAGTCAAGAGACACAGTGACCATGAGATGTATAAAGTGGCTGCTGGCAGAATATGGCACACTGTTCTCCACAGAAGAGTGAAGGGGTCAGCTAACAAGGGCTGTGACAGCGTCACTGCAGTAATGACACAACCCGACACACCCCAGCTACACCATCGGGTGATCACAAAGTCTCAGCCCTTGGACTCTGACAGGTCCATAGCTAGATGTGGAGTCTATTATTTCATTATATATATGATATCTATATCATATCATTATAAAGAGGAATCCAACTCCTTAAAAAGTTAATTTAGATTTATAAACACTTCCAAGAGAATATCCGAAACTAAACACAGGTAACTAGGCAAGGAAAGACTAACATAAAATCAAGAAAGAAGTTAACAGGCAGTGACGACAGCCAGCTTCCACCACAGCTCTCAGACCTGCGCCTCTAAATGGTGCTTTGATCTCATTACTGACTGGTCCCATCTTTCCCTGAAACCAATCCCAGAGAGGAATGATTTTTCCCATAAGTTCTAAAACATGGCAGACATTGGTAACCTGATTATCTTCAGTATTGGACTTTAATGTGCCAATTGATAAAACAGAGCTTTGGAAGAGGCTGAGGCAACAGAATAAAATTACTAAGTCAGTGAGGCATTTCTGGGGCAGGTGAGAAAAATAAGACACATGGTTCCACTCAGCTTTCTGGGTGGGAAGCTGGAACCCCTGGGTAGCTGATAGCATGGTCAGCAGAAGGCCTCTGAAGGGTAAGTCTTTCACTCTTAGCAGGTATTTTGATCCAGGGTATTTTGTGACCGAGTTCACATATAAGGGCCTAGGATACAAATTTACAAGAATTAGGGCTGAGGCTGTCATTTTCTCTCAGATTTCCAAGGGGCAAAAGGCATTTGGGGACCTAAGGTGAACCCTATAAGACGAATAATATTTTCTTAAAGAAAAAAAAAATAAACAAAAAACAAACAAACAAAAAATGCACAAGCTCTGAGGGAAACTAATTAAATTTTGAAAAATTTAAAATCCTAAACAAAAAAATTATAGGCTATTTTTCTACCAAATATGATTCTATCAAATATGGGATGGAGAAATAGCTCAGTGGTTAAGAGCACTGGCTGCTCTTCCAGAGAACCTGGGTTCAATTCTAAGCACCCACATGGCAGCCCACAATCATCACTAACTCCAGTCCCAGGAGAGCCAATGTACTCTCTGGCCTCTGAAGACACTGTACACATGTAGTGTAGACATACATGGCAGCAAAACAGACCATATACATAAGAAATAAATAATAAAAACAAAAATATTGGTCAGTATTTCTAGAACACAAGAAATATATTCAAAATGTAAATAATCCAAGAAAAAAAGTACTTAGAACCTTAAGTGCTAGGTGGAAGTCTGACTCTGCCAGTTCTCTAGCTCAAGAGTGTCCAACAGTAGCACTTTCACATATTTACCCTCTGATTAGGAATACTGGATGGGAATCATTCTGTAAGGAGAGGCCACAGCATGCTGCAGCTCTACTATCATCCCACAGTCTTGGAGACTATTTAGTGTTGCCAGTATATGCAACGGAACTAAGTGAAGGGAGCTCCTGGCACACCTTAAATAAGGGAAGTGGTTCAAGATCTCTCTGCATAGAGTACTGCAACATGAATCTTCAAAGGTCTTATTAATAAAAACAAACCCGGAGCCAGGTGTTGCGGTGAAGGCTAAATGATCAGAGAAACAGAACAAGCCACAGCTAACCTCACCTTGCCAATTCCTCAGCTGATCCTGTTTCCTCAGACTGGAAGCCTCTCAGTCCTCATCCAAATGTATCTCAGATGAACTGCTGCTCAAAAGCCTGAAAGCTTAACCAGTTTCTAGTTCCTGGTCCTCATGCCTTATATACCTTTCTTCTTTCTGCCATCACTTCCTGGGATTAAAGGCATGTGTCACCATGCCTGGCTGTTTCCAGTGTGGCCTTGAACTCACAGAGATCCAGACAGATCTCTGCCTCTAGAATGTTAGGATTAAAGGTGTGTGTGCCACCATTTTCTGGCCTCTATGTCTGTCTAGTGGCTGTTCTGTTCTTTGACCCCAGATAAGTTTATTATGGTGCACAATATATTGGGGGACACAATATCACCACAGAGTACAGGAGAATTTATACCCTAGGATTTAGACATCATGTGTCCAAACACAGGAGGTGTAGAATCACCCTGACTATCCTTGAGGCTTTTACAACACCAGGTTAAGGAGGGCATTCCCAAATTTCAGAAAAGAGAGCCATCAATTGCTGACTCAATTCTCAACAACACAGCTATGTGTTCTTCAAAGAAGCTAAGTTACTGAAGAACTGATGTTGCTACTATATTAATACTGTGACTTCAAACAAAGTCCTTATCTTTGCAGTCTGTTTCCTCATCTCTAAAATTAGAACTCCAATATTTACAGCATTGTCTTATTATAGCAGTTGTCTTAACCAATGTCTAAAAACATAATATGATGATATGTAACTTATGACAGATGGTGTGAAGACTCAAATAGGTGCACGCTGGCTGTACCTTTTTCATACATGTGGCTTTCTGAGTATTTCCCCTCCATTCTTTTTTGCAGTAGTCCATAATATCCATTTCAGGAGCCACACTTAGCCTGGGTTCTGCTGAAGAATCAAAATGGCAACAATAAACAAAACAAGTCATGAACCAAAGAGTAATGGAAATAAAGGTACTGCTTTACCTGGGGTAGAGGGGAATCCACTCTTTACTCCTTACTTTCTCTATTTTAAAATTTCCTGAATCCTACTACCGCCCTTGCCTCTAGTTCAGGCCACCACTATGCCACCTCCAGAGTGGTCTCTCAATGGGTCTCCCTTGTCACCACTTTCCAGATCATTCTCCACACAGCAGTTAGTCAGGCTGCTCATTTAAATCCTGAGTCAGGTGGCAGCCCTTCTCCCTATGCTCAGACGGCTGCAGGAGCCTCCTAGATCACACTCATCTGACCCACGGTTATCAATGAACACTTTTATAATCAGAAGTAAGCAGATGAACCATGAGAAAAAACTTCCACCATCTGTGATTTCACATCTATTAGGCAGAGATAATACCGAACAAAAATTATATTTGTATTTACCTAAAAGACTACAGTTTGTTAGTAAGTCAAAAAGTAACAGAGCTCTCGCTGTTGGCTAATCCACAGACTTCCTTTGATGTCCCCCAAAATTAGTATACCTCAGGATCAAACAAATGTTACCAGGTTTTTTTTTTTTAATGCCTTTAGATGCTCTTCTCCCCACAACATCCTTCTCGTGTGTGTGTGTGTGTGTGTGTGTGTGTGTGTGTGTGTGTGTGTGTGTGTGTGTGTGTGTACACTGATGAATAAACCTAGGGCCTTAAGTAAGATTTCCTTGATTTAATGGATGAGGTTTGATTTCTTGATATATACCTATGACTATGTGCATGTATGTATATGACACTTGGTTATTTCAAAAGGGAAACAGGCACATTCTTGGGTTCATCTTGGCTTCTTTCTTAGACTATAAAGGATATAGATATTAACAACTGTTTTAGGAGATGAACCTAGAAATACTTCAGAACCCAGAGAGCCCACATATCTTGTACGTGAAATAACTGTTTCATTCAACTCAACACACATTCCCTGAAGCTCTGATGTGTCAAGCACTGTGCCATTACTGGCAACGTAAAGATAACGAAGACACAGCTCCTGACCTGAATGGACTTCTCCAGGAGGAGCAGAGACCACAAGCACTTACAAGCCAGTGGACAGCGGAAGCCAGAATGACAGAGGAGCAGCAATTTGTTTTCTAAGTATATTATAAAAACTGTCTATCAAAAAACAAAAACAAAAAACTCTGATTGTTCATCATTTCATAAAGAAAAATCAACCTTTTACAAAAGGGGGAAATAATCCATGCACAGACAACACAGACATATTTCTGCATGGGTACATCAGGGCTCACCTAGAAGGGAAAGAGTCACAGTATCACTGTTGCACAACCCACCCTTAAATAAAGACCTTTCTTCTTTGAAATTCAGAAATAATTGTAAGAGGCTGGTCAGAATAAGGAAGTACTCCCATATCTGCCTTTCTACTCTCCTCCCCACAAACAGGAAGAACTGCTAACAGGCGGTCGGGACCCTTTCTGGGCTCTGAGTTCTTCCCAAACAGGGGTGTGAGCCTGTGGAGAAAGCACTGTACTAGCAGAGGAAGGGCTTCCAGACAGGAAGACTCCCTTCCTGTCTTCCTCTCTGCTGTCCTCACTCCTGACCCCTGGGCAGGGTAGGGGAATCCTACCACCTCAGATTACAGGGTAGAGTTGTCCCAGCGGTCTTCTAAAGGCAAGAGGTCAAGCCAGAAGGCTAGTCCTGTCCTGAATGAGAGGTCTGTATGAGGTGGGAGGCTTGGGGAAATGAAGAACTTACACAGCTACAGCATAATGTTACCTGAATTCCACTGGGCTACTGTCTCTGGGAGGACACCAGCCATCCCCACATACTGACTAGACTAGGAGATGGAGGCACAGGATGACCTCATCAGCTCACTGAATTACAATACCCTCCTCCTAACTGTAAATTACACAGGCTCCCACTGCTGCTTCCAGGAAGAAGACCATTTTTATTACCAAAACCAAAAATTAAATAAGGGAAGTAAAAAACCCAAAGTGGTAAGGTTTGGACCTTATTCATCACACCCCAAAGGGTAAGAAACAAAACTGGGGCTCCTCCAGGAAGCTGGGACTCTGAGCAGACAGACTAGGACTGGAATCTCAAAATCCTTCTGCAATAGGTCTGGTAGAAAACAGCCTGGGTTTTAGGAGCATACAGCTTCTATCACAACTATTCAGCTCGCATGAAAGCTACCAAAGACCAACGTAAACTTACAAGGTCCAATAGATCTTTATTTACAAGGCCGGATAGGAGGTCAAGGCCTGGGAAGCCTTTACGGAGCTAAGTTAGACGGAATGTCTTTTCACCAACCAAGAGAACCAGAGCCTCTCAGTCTTGCTCTGGGCTCTGTGGTGGAGGAGGCGGTGCTGCTACAGGACACTTAGGAAGAGCAGGAACGCAGCAGGGCTGAGATATCGGGAGCATTGTCAGACTGAAGCTGCACGTCACAAGACTCACTAAAAAGCTTGGACGCCTGTGTGGGGACAGAGCTGGACAGAAGAGACTCACAACAAAGCCTAGAAAGTGGAAGAGAAGAGCAGGTTCTACAGCATCAGCAAGCAATGGGTGAACACAGAAGAGCATGGTGCTCGAACAGCATTCTGTGTCCTGAGTGATCTGGAACAACAGAGCCATGGAGAATGAGCATCCTATGAAGTTCTAGGGAGGACCACTACAAAACATCCCTGCTACATGTTGGAATGAGTTGACCAGCTCTGGAGGAAGACTCAGAAAACATCAAAACTTGATGTATCCTAATTACAATGCTTTTGTTAGCCATAAGTGAAATAGAAGCCAGTTCTCAAAAAAAGTAGAACATGTGAATTACACAAGCAGTGAGAAAGATAGTAACATTCAAACACACTCTATCAAGATCTCCACTCAGCCTCTGCATAGGCCTATCTGCAATGGAAGGACACATTTCACTTGTACCCCTGCTGGGAAGATCACCACAGGCCAGGGAGCCAGGAGGAGCACCAAGTCCACACCAGGAGCACTGGCGGGAGTGAGAGCAAGCCCAAGGGAGCAGCACAGACTACGTACAGTCACAAAATGACGGGTGCTCTCAAGCACATGGCCATTTTGCTGCAGTCAACCACAGCCACATGGCTTTCTTCAGACAAGGATATGTGGATAGCTAATTTCTCAAAACATCTTGCAATTGAAAATGAGAACTGTGTTCACATCCAAACTGTTCTAAGAATGTAAAGAAATAAACTGAGAGAAGGCAGTCAACAGAGGCAAGGAAAAGTCTGCCCTAAATCTACTTCAGCAAAGTGAGTAATTCATAGAGAAAAGACTGTATGCATTAGAGGACTTCCTAGGAAATACATGCCGCATTACATGAAAGCGGATATACTAATCCAACTGGATTTTCTATAAACAAAAAAGGTCTACAAACAAAACAATTCCAAACATACCTGATATCCCTCTTTCATGTATTAGCAATTCTTTCTCCTTTTCTATTTCATCTGCAGCACGGTACATGTCCTCCTCGCTGAAATCACACCAAAGTAGATATTTTCAAACTCTTGTTCACTGACATTTCCCAATGTGTGATAATATATAGCTGCTTATGAAATGCTTATGACACAGAAATTTAACTGTTTTCATATACAGGATGCCACAGTAATAAAATATGGGTCCTAGGATGCTCATGTGTCTATCTTAACACTTTTCCACTTCAGAACTGCTTCCTTTAAATGAGACCATTCATAGATCACATGACTCCAATGCCATTTAAATAAAATCGACTAGCATGCATCTTAATCAGTGACACTCCTGAAATGACTCCACCAAGTTCCAAGAACAGAGACAGTGCTAATAAAAGCATTTACACAGGAATGTCAACTTTTGTAATGTTACAAGCAATTCTGACAGCAGCTACTCTAAAAACATGCAAATAGAGAATCAATTATTCCAGGCTCCCTTAGCTAAAACTCCTCCAGGCTTCACCTGTTCCCTAAACAGCAACCAACCAACCCCCCAGATGCTGCTGTGCCCCCACAAGCTTCAATGGCTACCACTAATGACAACTTCTTTAAGAATATAATCACTACCAGTGAACTACTAAGTATTAGGAAGCAGGGGGGGGGGGGAATTCAGGACAAAGATAATGAATAGGGCTCCCACTTTGAAAATGCCTCCCTTTCCTTGAATATTTAGAGGCTTGGCTAGAGCTGCCCAGTGTGTTCCAGCTTCAGTAATAATCCCAGCACCTCGAAAATACTATTAACCCCCCAAATAACAATAAAGAGAACAGAACACAACTACCTTTGCTGAAAGCAAAAGACGTGTTGGGAAAGAACAGTAGGAAGCAGAGGGGCGAATGGTGCAGGCAGGGAAGCCCAAGGCTGCTGGAGGGCAGCTAGGCAAGGCAAGCTAGTAAGCCAGGAGGAAGTCCCAGGCTCGGGAACTAGAAGAAGCAAGTCCATCTGAAGAAATAGCAACGCACTGAGCTTAAAAATCAGGAGACTCCACATAAGGAGTGTGCAGACCTCCAACTCTCAGTATCTCCCATGACAGTGCCCCATGCTCACAGCAAACTGGGGAGAGAGGAGCTTCAAACACAATGGAGACCAGGAAGGAAGAGGTGCCAGGCTCAGACAGAAGGAACCAAGTGAACGAGTGCAGTGCTTCTGCTTCTAATCTCTATCCGTGGACATGGCCTGGCAGACAGAGCTGGGAGACAAACAGCGGATCAGGAGAGACAGATGAAGAAGGGTGCTAGAGATAGACTGCAGTGAGAATCTAACAAGCACCTTATGAAATCATCCAGTGTTTCCCAACTGTGAGAGAACCAATGTCTAAATCTGCACCATGCAGATGTGGTGGTACATGCTTATAATCCCAGTACTCAAGAAGCTATGGCAGGAGATCTTGATGTCAAGGTGTGCCTGGAGTATGGAAAGACCTTGTCATTCATATAAACGAATACTGATCTATATGAATTATATATGTGTGAAATATATACAAAGTACATATCTGCCACTTCCCTAAAGCATGGTTTTGATTATTCCCCTAGGTACTACCCAGAATTCAGTCCAAAAACAGCCACAACTGCTCTGTACTTTCACATCTGTGAGTTCCTACAGGTGTTCTCTCATCCCAACAGGTTCAGAATCCTGATCTGTCTCTTTCCTATGACATCCTGACACATTCTGTATGGGCCCACCCTCTACTGAGAGCAACAGATGCTATGGGAACCCAAGTCAGACTGGCAGAGTTTAGCTACCTTTTACCCCAGCTCTTATTACCTCTAAGTACAGCAGTTACTAGAGTATTTACTTCATAGGACTGTGGTTAAGAAAGACATACTTAAAATAATGAGTATTCAAAAAATACTTAGCTACTATTAATTTTCATATACCCACTGATACAGAGAGTCCTAATAAACAATTTGCCCAGTGATGGTTTCTCAGGCTTGTTTCCCTAGTGTGTATGTATGTATATGTGTTAGCAGTGTGATGGTAAGAGAGCAAGGATCATATGCTCCAGTGACATTTCAAGCAAAAGACATGAGATCACCCACAGAGCTTGTGCCAAAGTTAAAAGCAAACAGATGCGTGGGAACAACAGATCAAAGGCCAAAAATAAAATATGACCACATGCTTTCATTCTTCTCTCAAATTTAATAACATCTTTCTGTCAAACCCACTATTATACCTATTAGAGAAATTCTGATTCTCTAAAACAGTCATTGAAACAAATCACTTTCTTAATATATTTAAATTCTCAGAAGCTGTCTTTGGACAACACTTCCCCAATCTTGCCCTCAGCTTTCTCAGCTTCAATGAGAAGGCTGGTAAGATCTGTATGGTCTGCGGTTCCTCTTCCAGCTAAGTTCTAATCGCCTATCATATATTTGCATTTCAGGCAAATTCTGTGGCTAGCCTGCATGAACACTTGGCTCCCCTCTGGTCCTCTGTTCTTAACTTACAAAATAACCAAAACCATAATCACAACCCCAGTGCCCAGAGGAGGCAATACAAATACAAATTCCAAGCTGGGCAGTGGTGGCACACGCCTTTAATCCCAGCACTCAAGAGGCAGAGGCAGGCGATCTCTGTGAGTTTGAGGCCAGCCTGGGCTACAGAGCGAGTTACAGGACAGGCTCCAAAAGCTACACACAGAAACCCTGTCTCAAAACAAAACAGAACAGAACAGAACAAAACAAAACAAAACAAAACCCTCCTATGAGGGCCAACAGGAGAAGAACTAAAGGAAACAGAGCAGAGCAAACAGGAGCATTCCCGGGATGGGGGGCAGAAAAAGGCAGAGGTTCAGGACACAGTCCTCACAAGAGGAGCGGGGCAGAAGCTGCTGACCAGCCCACAGCATCTACAAACTACTTTCACCCAGTTCACCCAGATCCTTGCACCAGCATATGCTAACTTCCTTGGCCACCAAAATCGAGCTGTTATGTGAGCCTTTAGAAATGATCCCAAAGCTGTGTTTCCTTGGAAACCAGGTAAGTGTCAATTTTAAGGAATGAAGATCGACACAGTCAGAAAGGAAAGCATGTGACAACCAGGAGGAACCACCTAAGGGTGATCAGGAAGAAACAGCACTTGCCTAGAGTACCCCAGTCTCTGGAGCTCACTCCCTACAACAGTAAATAATAAAATAAAACGACTCCATTTTATTATCTGTCTTGGGGCTGGAGCTCAGGGGCTTTTTATCCCCAGAACTAGAACAAAACCAGACCATAGTCTTGATGTTTTAAGAGTCAAAATATGACACGGAAAACAACTACAAAAGGCAACTGTATTTAAAGCTGAGAATGTGAAGCAGGTAGAGGTCTGGTTTTGTTTTGTTTTGTTTTTCTTTTATGGGAAGGGAAGACAATGAAACAATGCAAGGAAAAGGGGTATCATTAAGATAAAGTCACCAATGCTGACAGCTCTAAAAGGATGGCAACTTTTACTGGTAAAGATGTGTCCACTCTGGCCAAGAACAAAGGCCACAAACCCCACAGGTTCAGACCATCACCACAGCCAAAGCTTCTCTCCTATAAACCATGACAGCTATAAAATAGTAAAGAGAAACATGACTCAATGTCTAGACATGCTAGTTAATGTTTAAACTGGACAGTTACATTTAAAACCAAAATGATAATAATTCCTAACCAGAAATTCCCTAGTTTAGCACCATGGCATTATTTGAAAGGATCCATTAAATCAAGTTCCATTAAATACTATTTACCCATTTTCTCATGAGCTAAACTATTTTATTCTGAAAGCAACATGTCAAATTGAGTAAGCTCCAGTGCATACTAAATTATAACTAGTACCTATTACCCTGCTTAGAGATTTCCATGTCAACAAATTTTAAAGGGGTGTGTGTGTGTGTGTGTGTGTGTGTGTGTGATGGGAGGGGGTTGAAACAGGGTCTCAGGCAGATGAACCGGCTTTGAACTCCTGAGCCCCCTATACCTCCACCTTCAGAGTACTGACTGGCATTACAGGAATGGACCATTAAATGCAGATAAGTCTTGCTTGTAAATGCTCACTAGTACAGACAATATTATATTATTTCCAAGAAAATAGCAAATTAAAGGCAGAGCTCAGTGAAGCAGATTTCTGTGAAACCATAGTTTCAATTTCTAATTCAAGACATGAAATGAAAAATCAATTCTAATTTATATACACAACTTACAAGACAATATTTTTTGTTTTAAAAAGATGTACTATAAAATAAATGTTTTCCTTTATCAGAAAAAAAATGTATTTATTTTGATTTTGCTATTTTATGTGTATGAATGTTTCCCTGAATGCGTGTCTGTATGCCATGTGTGTGCCTGGTGCCTGAGGCCAAAAGAGAGTACTGGATGCCCTGACACTGGAGTTTCAGATAGTTGTGAGCCACACTGTGTGGATGGTGGGAACCTAAACCAAGCCCTTTACAAAAGCAGCAAGTACTCTTAACCACTAGCCATTTTTCCAGCCTCCAAAATAGTATCTTCGTCAATATGTGAGTGTTTGACCGAGGCCCCTTAGTTATCTGAGAAAAGAGCAGAGTATGTCATTCTGTTTAGGTCTGAACTGGAGCCCTGCCGTTCACACTTAACTAATGGCTCAAGCAGTATTGGTGAGACACAGTCAGCCAGTGTGACACCACCATGTCTTCCCACACAGACACAGGAAAAGTAGAGACCACTCAGCCTAGCCTTTTCCCCTGTTCAGTGACTGCAGAAAGGGGTAAACAAGCAGCCAATGCAGGAAAGTCCCAGCACCTGGGCCAAAAGTCCACCCGCTCTGCAAGCGGACTTCCCACGTCCAGCTCAGGCTGCTCCATGTGACTTCCAGAAGTGCGTAAGGACAATATAGCCGCCTTCAACAATGAGGTTGGGAGACATCCTAGATGATTCCTGACGTAGGTTCTTCCTCAGGTGAGGGAAGGAGAGGGGTCTACTACTACCCCACCACTCCACCTATTCTCAGCCTGCTCCCTGTGAACTAGACTGGGCAAGGGCAGAAAACACATACCATAACAGTAGGCGTGGCAATCCCTGAAAACGGCTTAATACTTACAGGTCAGGGAATGCTCCCAGACCTTTTAAGAATCCATACTTTAGCATGGAAACACAAGTTTGCCCTCAATTTCATAGCGCTTCACAGACTACTTGGTACACCTCCACGCATAGCCCGCCCACCGTGAATCCCACATTCAACACCAGTTCCATCCTCAAGTAGAATGAGAGGGTGCATGGGGTGGTCTGTGAATTTCCCTAACCACTTCTGGTTTGGTCACATCCCTGAAAAAGACAGTGTGGTATAACTGTCTAAGGGGTAGTCAACAGATGGAGCAGAGATCAAGCATGAAGGGACGGGGGATGAGCAGAAGACAGAGCAAAGGAGAACTGTAACGCGAGCAGCCAGGGAGCTTACGGAAAGTCAGTTCATCTGGTCTTCAAAAGGGAGCCCAAGTTTTCCTGCCAGCCATCCTTGAGGCCTAGGCAGCAAGCGGCGTACACATGTGGTTTATGTGTCCCTCTTCCCCAGTCTCTCCCTTGTGAAGTGCCATGTGAGCTTACCAGACAGAATCAGAGCAGCCTCTGCCACTACAGCCATCCATCAGACCCTCAGAGTCACATCCCAAACATGGAATTCAGCTGCAGGAGATTGGCTATTATTTGCTGTCATAATTAATTTCCCCTCAAATGTAGTAAAAAATGACTCCATACAACATCTCAAATCGTGACTAGTCTTACTATGTTCCCTATTTTAAGGTGCAAATATTTTCAATGATTCCAAGTGGAAAGAAAGATCTGACCCGTATGGTCCAAAACAGATTTTTAAAGCACATTCTTAACAATATTAATTTAAATTTACACCCAAACTATTAAGCTGCATATATCACATATGCATCTATTATACTGTGAACCATGTAATGTTTCTATGATGCATGACCCTAAGCCTCACAAAGAAAAATAGCCCAATTAACTATTCATATAATGCTGATTCAGAAAGATAAAATATGCTAGTGGTGTGATGTTGAAATAGCAACATTAAGTTATACTAGCGCCATTTCCCCACCTGATAAAGAGTCAAAGAAGAATGGGATAATTAAGGCAACACAGACAGTGAGAGAGAAAGAAATTAAGCTACTAAAGCCACCAACTACAAACAGGGGGGTGGTAAAGTTTGCTGTCTTTATAAATCAGGCCTCTGTCCAGTGTTGCTAAGGAGGTCAGGAAGACCCGGGTTTGGGGCCCGGGCAGCGTGCTCAACCAAGCATCAAGAAACTTGGTCTTGAAATCCCCTACCTGTGTCTTCCTTAACAAGCTGTGTCTGCAGAACCTGCAACCTATTTCCTCAGAAAACCTACCAAACGACTATGCGTCCTTCTGGGAATGTGGTTCTGGCCTCAAAAGTTCAGCTATCTTTCAAGCCCTGTGGAACTGCTAGGGCAAGGCTGAGCTGCAGGACTTAACAGGCCGGGCACGCAGGGAAGGGCTCAGGACAGGAGGAAGGTGGGCAGGAGGAGCAGTTAGGAAGCATCTTGGGCCCAGAGGAAGAGCAGAGGCAAGAGACATCCTAGGTTTCTAACCTATGCAGTCTCAATTTGGCAGCCATAGATTAGACCAACTCACACACGGACCTGTCTATGGAATTCAACATAAAGAAAAATCAGGACATTTCAAGCAAAAGCCAGAATACCTAGATTCATCAACTACAGAAGACCCAGTGACTACGCCTGGAGCTCAGAGCATGCTGACCCAAATAAAGAGCTAAAAGCTCTCCAAGTCCCAAAGCTAACTGCCAATGTCACTGACTCTTAAATTGCCAGCCTAGCTCCGGGAGAAAGTTAAGGCCTCCTAGCCTAAATCTTTCCTCAGTAACCGTTAGCTCATTACACGAATAATTACCATCGCAAAAGGGTGCTCAATAAATAAAAGAGATCAAAGCCCACCACAGTGCACTAGGCAAATGAGCTATTATATCACATCTTCATTAACCAGGCTTCAAAAGACCCCTTTTCAGGAGATTACAAGAGCCCTAAAGGTCCATTTAGACACACCTTACGATTTAAATTTCAGGTCAATAAGAGAATTAGTTTGAGGCTGGAGAGATGGCTCAGTGGTTCGGTTCCCAGCACTTACATACACGGTGGCTGTCAACCATGTGTAACTCCAGTCCCTGGGGTTCAACACTCTCCTCTGACCTCCTCATGCACCAGGCACAGACACACATGCAGGCAAAACCCTCCTACATATAAATCAATCAAAAAGAAAACAATTTTTTAAAAGAAGAAGAAGATTAAGTCTGGCCGAGCTTTTTAAATATGTCCAAAGGCATATGTGACCGTGCCACGAACTCTGAAGTGTAGACACAACTCTAGACCAAGCAAAATGCAAACGCTTCTGACTTAGGCCAGTAAGGAACTGCTCTGAAACCGCACTGATTGTGTGTGTGTGTGTGTGTGTGTGTGTGTGTGTGTGTGTGTGTGTGTGTGTGTGTGTGTAAAAGCAGTGGGTGGGCGGAAGGGACACCCCGCCAGGCTCTGACAGGGTAAAACTGAGAGGGCTAGCCTGTGGCCAAGGTCTGTCCAACAGGTGCGACACTCTTCAAGTGGTGACTAGTCTTCCCGGGGCAGAGACGTGGCGAGGGCAGCCCTGCGGCCGTGCCAGGGGCGACCTCGCTTCCTCCGAGCCGGGTCGGGGGATGGGGGGGAAAGAGCTCCGGGGAGTGAGCGGGTCACGAAACCGGACTCATCTCTTCCCCAAACTCCCCGAGCTGTGGCTCACTTTAGGGACGGGCCAGCTGTCAAAGCGGGAGCGGGGCGGCCCGGGTGAGCCAGCTGGGGACAGGCTCGGGGCTCGGGACTCCGGACGCCTCCTCCTCCTCCTCCTCCTCCTCGGTCCAGCTCGCCTCCTCGGGCTCGCCCGCAGCCGAGGGCGCCCAAGCCCCCCACGGCGGCCCCGCGTCCACGCCCGCCCCGCTCAC